CACACACACACACACACACACACACACACACACACACACACACACACACACACACACACACACAACGTCACACACAGCATCCGTACATGCACATAGTACAACACATTTCACAAACACTACCATTTGTTCTGAGACACACACGCACAAGCACATTTACAAGCACTGGCATGCACTGCACATTAAATGGACTCCTGAGAAAGTATGCAAGAAATTCACATCAAATTACCCATTCGGTTAATTTTGTTTAGAAGCTGCTCTCTGTACTGTTCCCTGTGATTCACAACAGTATCCAGCCTTTCTTGGACACACTGTGGATGGAGTATCTGGGGTCGGGGATTTGTAAACAGGGGGCTGCTGGTTTGCTTTAAAATGTCAGTTAAGTCCGTATGTCTATCAGTGTCATGTTTGGTTAGGCCAGCTCTTGTGTAGCTGTTCACACTTGGCTGATCCTTATTGTTAAATAAGCAAAGCCTTGTGTTTGGCTGTGCTGCGGATCAGCGAGGCACTCACCTGAAAAACTGGAGAGAGAATGGAGAGTAGTACAGCAGAACACTACATAGAAGGCACATTTTAAACCATTTAAAGTTTCTCATTAAAACCAGTGTGCCACTTGGCCATTTTCACAGCAGCTACTTTGACACGTAGCAGCTTAAAAAGCCCACATTAACATTAACAATGGATACGTGTCATTTAGATGCCTTACTTCCAGGGCTCTGGTACCTTACCGGGATATACAGATTGAGTGGTGCTGCCATTTGTGTTATTAGTTCACCTTTGAATTTTCTCCTCTACATGTCAAATATTTATGGTGGGGAAAAAAAGCCAGTTTTCACTCTTAAGTTTTATGGTGTTTGAATAGCACTCAGTTCAGTGAAATCCATGAAAGCAGGTGATTCACACCTTCAACAAGTTAAATGTAACCACATTACATTTTTAACATTTTTCAACGTGCCACTTCTAGCCAGTTGTTCAATGTCTAGACAGGTAGATGCCTCTGTGATTCCTGGCCTGGGATCATCTGCCTGTCACTGCCATCAGTCCTCATTTTCCAGCAGGAGGTTTTTTCTCCTGGCTTTTCCACCGCTGTCATCATCTGCCACCAAACCAAGGGGAAGGAGAAACATAATTATAGGACAGAGGCAAAGA